ACTGCCGCCCTTTAAGGTTTGTGTTTGACTGTAATAGATTTGTGTCAATAAGCGTGCATCCATTTTGTCAGTGTAGATGATAAATAAACCTCAATTGCGGGGCGGGGGAAGTGCTTATATAGACTTCATGTTATGAAATACCTATCTCATTTATATAATTCAGTGATGAGAATAAATAAGTATGGTATTGTATTATTTTATAAATTCAAAATAGTTTATTTAACTTTTTCAAATAGGAAATCAAAACGGAATACCCACCTATATTTTGCTTTTTGTTGATGAAACCATGGAGCTAGAAAGGGATGACACATATCTTCCACTAAAAATATACATTGTATGTAATAAACTGTTTGTTAAATCATGGAAGGTACTCTGTTAGTACTCTGTTTTAGTACCTTCCATGGTTCAATAAAGACAAAGAAGGTGTGTCAAATCCCAACTGCACCATTGACATCTTACAATTTATGATTTTCGCATCAGTTGGTTTGCATATGCAACATACTAGAACATTACTTAGAGACTAACACTGATAACATTATATTCTACTCCAAATATATATATATAAACATATAATCTGCTTGACTGGAAAGGAATTTAATCTCCACTAAGGTAAACTACTTAGTCAAATGAATGTGTCCAGGGCAAGATTAGAGAGAATCAACTCACATGCCTCAATGACCAGCCAACACATAACCTTTATACAACTATTCGGTCAGTATATCACCATAACTAAAGGTGTATCACTTTGACCTTTAGAATTACAGTAGATCACAACGACATCTACATTAAACAATTTGCTGCTTCAAAACACATTTTCATAGATTAGTATTAACTTAAATGCTTTCTTACATAATCATTGATCTTTTGACAACCACACTCCCTTTGTTCATGGAGCTCCATGCTTTGTTACAGTATTAAAATACAGGTGTCTAATTTGCATATCACAGTTAGGACTCCCTAGGTGCAGAGTTAATCCCCCCCCCCCCAAAAAAAAAAACCAAACATTTTTCAACTAATCTTGTACTGGTTACAAGAAAGTTGTTGCTGCCAATCTGAGTCCATTTTATTCCTGTAAATTCAGTTTTTTGTATTTTTAATCAAGATGTAAGAGTCCTATTTGAGGTAAGAACAATAGATTTACAGCTTTTCCATATACAATTGTTTCTCCTCAAGTTCATAAAAAGCTGCATATAAACTGTGCATAGCTTTGTTTTGTGATCACTGCTTTGATAAGCCAGTGCATGGTTGAAACCCATATTCTTGTGGTACCTTATGGTTTTGCACAAGACATTAGTCATGGTAAACCATGCATTCATTGCTGACTTTTCTAGCTTGCAAAAGCACAAATGAGTGTGCATGTTGTTTTAAGGGAACCAACCAAATGGCTTGTACCTTAACATTCATGAATGACTATACAAACAAGCAGAATTGGAACTGTAAAATGAATCGTCTACTTTATGAACCTCAAAAATGAAAACGCATGAAATGATCTTTTATATACTGCCATTGAATTTTTCAGATATTTAGATTTACAGTTTAAAGCATGCCATTTTAGAACAAAAGCCTACTGATTATTTTTGTACTTGTGAATATCACATCATCCTATAGCACTGTAGCTTCATTTGTTTTCATTTTTGCCAACCGACAATACAAATGTCACTCACTGAATGAACACGATGGCTTGTGATCTGCTGTGACATCATTGTCCATGAGTTGTTTTATTATAAAGCCTTATATCACTGTAACTAGATCAATCATGACATTTCATAAGATATACAATTATATCATTTGAATCTGTATTATAGCATCATAATGACCTTTATTAGTGTCTGGCAATGTTCCATATGGTTTCAGAGCAACATTATTATATGGTTAATATTGCATTTTTTGCATTGAAGCCATTTAAGCATTGGAGCCCATATAAAATGAGTTGCATTTTAGCTTTACGTCTAACCAATTATTATTAAATTAAATCTTAATGTGCTTCAACATTTCATCTATTTATTTAGTTATGATTGTATAGGCATGCAAAAGCCATAACACTGTTGTGTGCGTGTCACTCTGCATATACGTTCTGAGGGGCACGCATATGTCATGCAAGTCGGGTCTACGTGTACCAGTACTACCTATTGCATATCCTCCCTGGACAACACTTGTTATTATAAACAGGCTACATTAGGTCGAAAGAAACAGATTCTTTGTAGAAATATGACTGTCAACATTGATAATCTATCATTATCAAACAGGCCAAGGCCAAGTTTTGAATAGTAACATAGTTCGTATTTTTAAATGCACCGAAATAAAATGCAGATTTCTGCTGACAATGTTTTATTAAGGGACGATTGATCACCACAGACAAGTTATTACAAGTTATAAAATGCTATGTTCTGGTAGTGAGGGAAAAGATGCCCAATCTTATTCTCTGTCTATCACTTCTTTGACTTAGCCTAGTTTGTCATCTTTTGTTACGTAACCTTTAGTGGCAGATTAAGCAATGTAATCTTTCCCCTCACTACCAGCTGTATAGCAACCAGCTAGTTTATTGGTATAGACAATCGGAAGCCAATGCCAAGACAGGAAAAGATCATTGGCGCCATGCAGTGCTTGATTGTTTTTAAGCTAAACGTGTGATTATCTTAGGTAGCGTGGCTAACACCTTAGCACTATATATTGCAGCATTACAGATTGAGGGTATTATTGGCTAGCTGGCTCGACACGCACCGCAGGCATTGTTTCCCCAACCCACCCTCCCTTTTTGTTTATTTTATGCTTGTAGTTTTTATAGATTTAGTTTGTAGTTACAGATTTTGAGCTTTGTAGTTTATAGTTTTTGAGGTACTTTATTACCTCACAGCATGGAACTATAAACCTGGGGTTTTTCATATGATGGCTTCTGCGCATGCGCCAACCAAGCGCCGGTTTATAAATAAATTATCGTCAGCAGTCCCTGACTGCCCAACCTTATTCTCTGTCTATCGCTTCTTTGACTTACCCTAGTTTTGACAGTTCATTTAAGTTATGTATTTATGTTTAATACAGTTTTAAATGTGTCATCTTTTGTTATGTAACCTTTAGTGGCAGATTAAGCAATGTAATCTTTTCTCTCACTACCAGCTGTATAGCAACCAGCTTGTTTATTGGTATAGACAATCTCAAGCCCATGCCAAGACAGGAAAAGATCATCAGCACCAGTGCTTGATTGTTTTTAAGCTAAACATGTGATTATCTTAGCTAGCATGGCAAATCAAATCTTAAATATATCAAATAATATATCATCTTATATCTAAAATTTATTCTTGAAGAGTATCAAGACCATATCTCCAAAAGAGGCACACCAAGGAATATAATACTTCTTTTGGTGACATTTATGTTTGTCGCACTAATGTGATAGGTTAATGCGAAATTAACATGATTTTCACATAAGTGCTTTTAATATAGATATTATGATATATTTCATATTCAACCAATATTATTGTATGGGTCTGAAATCTGGGGTCATGAAATTCAAGATTACAACAAGTGGGACAAAACAATAACAGAAAAAACACAATTGAATTTTTACAAACAACTACTAGGATTGAACAAATTTGTGACAAACATTGCATGCAGAGCTGAAGTAGGAGAATTCCCACTCTTAGTAGACATTCGGATTCAATTTAATAAAATATTGGACTCGAATCAGTAAATTATCCAGACAATAATATCACAAAACAAGCATACCTTGAACAAAAGAAATCCAATTTACAATGGTATTCTTCAATACAAAAAATGATGAACAACATGAACTTTTCACGAAGAACAACTAGAATGATTGGTTAACAAAACATATACAGCAAATTG